GGTTCCTTAAAAAACTAAGAATTGTCTTCGGCCATGCCACCCTGAACAAGCCTGATCCCGTCTGATCTCGGAAGCTAAGCAGGGTCAGGCCCGGTTAGTACTTGGATGGGAGACCACCTAGGAAGACCAGGTGCTGTAGGCATTTAAAATAATAATAATAAGGTGGGGAAGGCTGGAGGAGGGGCAGGTTTGGGCCTCAGATGTTTGGCTTTATACGTCAGATGTTAAATCTGAGGTGCGTTTCAGAAGGCCACATGCTGGAGTGGAGTGGCAGGTGGACACACGTGTCTGGAGACATCAATGTCAGGGGTGGGCGTTGTCTCCACGTAAAGGGTGGTAAAGGCCTGAGTGAGATCGGTGCCTGGGGAGAAAGTGTGGACAGGGATGATCCAGGGTCATGGCCCTCGCCCCAAAGTGCTCCAGCGTCTAGTGTTGGAAATGAGGAACCAGTAAATGAGACTGAGAAGGTACAAAGGAGACTGAGAAGAGACAAAGGAAGTGGCCAAGAGGTGTCCTAGAAGCCAAGTGAGAGAGCCTCTCAAGGGCTCAGTGGTCAATTACGTCAAACGCTGCAGAGGTCAATTCAGATGACGACAGACCACTGCATGTGGCATCATAAGGGCCACTGGGGACTCAACAGAGCTCTTTTGTGGGCAAGAGTCTGATTGGAATGGGTTCGAGAGAGAATCAGAGGCAACTCCACCTCCGGTTACAAACACGACTGAAACATACAGATACAGGCACTGCAAGAAGACGCATCCCAGCACAAATGTCAAGCCATGTGCTTGTTATGGCCAAAACACGGAGGTGCCCAAATGCCCTTCAACTCTAGAACAAGTCAGCTCTGCTATATGCATTCAGTGGAATACCATGCAGCAATGAAAAGGAATCGAGTGCTATTACAGTGCAATAAGGATGACTCATACACGTGGACCGTGGAAGAGGGTCTATGGAAAGCAGCCTCACAGGGTGATGTGATCGTACATTCCTAACTGGGCAGGTCGTGGAGAGGAGTCACACCCCAAGCATTTAAATTCTTTAGCAAAAGGTTTACCTTTGCCTTAAGCAGGCCCCGGCCATTGTTTTTGTGCATCTAGGTTGACACACCTTTGAAATGAGTGTGACCACCTGGAGAAAGCACAGAATCCTAACTATCCTGTAATCACATCCCTGTCTTTCTTTCCCGCACCTAATCTTCCTGACGTTCCCTCTTTAACTGCAAAGGCATGAAAGACACTGCAAAGTTGCCGTTCTCTGAAGCATTTTTTTTTCCAGTCTATTGAGATCTTGCTTTCAGGCGTGTCCTCTGTTTGGCTCAAATCCTTATAACATTCTGTACAGGTGTGCAAGTTTATGACAAAACAAACGTAATAGTAACCAAAAGACAAAAAACTGCAGTGAGTGATTCCATTCACGTGAAGCTGAACACAGGCCAAAGCAATCACTGTGACACAAGGCAGAATGTGCATTACCCTTGGGGATGTGGGAGGATGAGGGCCGGCAGGGGGTGCAGCTAGGGGTCTCCTGGGGGCTGGTGACACGCTAATTAACAGCAGTCACGCCGGGTGTTCATTTTGTTGGCTGGGCTGTGTGCTTGCGACGTGTGCACTTTTCTGCATGTGTGTTATTGTTATACTTCAGGAAAAACATTTACTTTGAGAAAGAAAAAGATAATAGGAAGCGAGGAAGTGCTGACAATGAGAACAGCGGCCTCTGGAAGCGCGCTCGGAAGGGGACAGGGAAATGGGCCGC